CTTTGTCATCCCCTTCTCCTCCTGCCTTCACTCTTTCTCAGCATCAAGGTCTTTTCCAATGAGTCAGTTCTTTGCATCAGGTGGCGGAAGTATTTGAGTTTCAGCTTTAGCATCAGTCCTTCCAGTGGATATTCAGTACTGATTTTGACGGGTTTGATCTCCTTGCTGTCTTACAGAGTCTTCTCCAGCACCACAGCTCAAACAGGACACTGATCGGCTTAAGCTAATAAACTCAACCCTGGCTAGATATTAGAACCAATAAGGAACTATTTTAAAATATCTGTGCATGGGACCCACCTCTCAGAGCAACAAAGTCAGAATCCTTTGAAGGGGTACTTGGCTTGAAATCCAATAACATAAGCCAATCAGCATATCCCGCTGGCTCAAGGATTGGCACATAACCCAGCTCAAGCCAAGTAGATGCAGCAATTTTTCATTTTATGCCCTCTGTTCTCTTTGTGATTATATTATTTGTATAATTAAAAATAAATTAATCTCTTTTGAGGTTGCCCCTAAAAGTATAAGATGATTTTAAAGTATGGGTCATCTATTTTAGAGTTCATTTCTTTAAATGTACAAATCTCCAGGAAGAAGTAAGAAGTATTTTTTAACTGTGCCATGTATCCACAACCTCACAATAATACAGAATAAGTGTGAATAGCATGTTTTATGTATGAGAAAATGACCCCTGGAGCTTGGATCAGAGCTCCAGGTCAAGACCAGCTGCAGGAGAGCTGGCTCCTGACGGTGGAAGCCGACTGTGGTTTGCTCTGCTTTTCATGTTTGACCTCAGCCTTCTTCTCTAGCAGCTCTAATCTGATCTGGCCAGCAACTAGAGAGGAGAAAAACCTCAAGGATTCAGCTAAGTATCTTCAGTTGCTCTTTTTCAGACGTTTTTGGGTTTGACTTGGTTCCTAGATATCTTGTGAAATTAAATTTGCATGATTTTTTGGATTACACCTCTGCTGATGTACTCATTGTTTAACTTTCAGGCCACAGCATCACAATGACCACATTGCATTACTTCAGAAATTATGAGTAAACAAAGATTGTTTTAGAAAATAAAAGTTTAGCTTTTGATGTCTAATAAATTTGAGTGTCAGGTCACTTGTGAAGAATATTTGACTTGTTATTTTCAAGTTATTTATCTGAAGAAAACTGGTGTAATTTTTACAATGTAGAAGGATATCATAAGACTTGTTTTCTCTAATACTAAGGAATAAAGGAGTTAGTTTCTTTAGTTGTGGGTAAGATTTTGTTCACCACCGTTTCTTATTTGCTACATTTAGATTCTGTTCTTTGGGATCATATGTTAAAAAGAAATTCACATCCCCTCTTATCATTTGTTTTTTTCAAAAACCAGTTCTTTGTTAAAACTCTGCCCAAGTTACTTCTGGTTTTAGAGCTTTAAGTTTTGCACAGAGCTTTCAGATGCTTTCATATATGATTATCCATGATGGTTGTGTCAAAAGAAGACAGTGAATAATGTGGATTTATGAAATGCGCAGTTTCATCCTGTTAATCTTAGCAGGCACTTATCACATGTATCCATCCTCAGCAGATTTAAAAATGTTGCATTGTTGCTTCTCCTTGACAGTTTATCAGAGGAACAGACAGTGAAATGGAATGAGTTTGTGTAACATTAAGTGTTAGTGTTTAGGAATAGCAAAATAATCGACAAATGGACAGCAAGAAAAGAAAGATTAAAAAAAAGTCTGAAGCCTGGATTACCCAATGATGAATGTGTGTCTGAAAAAGAGAGATTTGGCTACACTTAATTCAGGACAGAAGTTCTGACCTTATAAGCCCAAGGAGCTAAAGAAAAATTAGCAGAGACTTTCCATTGCAAGGTAATGAAGCCACCTAGTGGTTTGTTAGATAATTTAAGGTTATGTGAATGTATAAAGTGTCTTACTTGTGAATTGATTGGGTGGGTCTCTATCAAGCATGAATAGGACTCTGATCACTTGTCACTTAGTCTGGCAAGGAGGGTCAGTTTCATTGAGAATAAGCACAGAGCTACTCTGTGTAATCTTTTATATATTTATAATCTTTTTTTAAATCATAAAGGACTTAAGTTAACTCACATGAAACTACAATGAGAGAGCACAAACTAGAAAAGAGAAAAAAAAAGATATAAAAAGTGGTAAAAATTTCTGATAATTCAAAAATGTTGACAAGATTCTGTACATTTTCCATGATAGGACCCTATGTTTTCAGGAAAGCATGGAAACTGATCAGTTATAAAAATTCAGTGCTCAAAACAGTGAAATAATTTTGGGGGAAAGCAAAATCCTACCTGATGTCAAGAACCGAGAAATGTTTTTCTGAAGGTCCTCACCGATGAGGTACTGCCTCATGTCATGTATAACACCCTCAGTCCTTGTAATGGAAATCATCCCGAGTCTTGGAATATTGTTTCTTAGCTGTGCCTGCACTGCTTTGGAGGAGAACGTGCACCAAGCTCTGTATTCAGGGCTTGCATTAAAGCATTTGATCCTCATAATAAGCCCGAGAGGAAGGCAGTATTATTATCCCATACTGCAGATTAGGCCAGTGACATGCTGTGTCACTTTATGAACCTGCCCAAAGTTAGGCTCTTAGTGAGAATGGAACTGGAATTCAAACCCTTGGCGCTTTTATCCAAGATGCTGTGTATACTGAATGACGCATCCGGTGACAATGGCAGTGCTGTACTGAATACTTAGACGGTCTGTAGGGCGTTGGATAGGAGCGCTTTAACATGGTGCTCAGGACATGGGGTGGACTGCACATTTCTGAGATGACCCAGCTAACGTTGCCCTCCTGTGTCACAGGCTTCTCCCTGACTCCAGTCCCTGCACACTCATGCATATGCATGTGCATACACACCTTTGATCAAAAACAGAGGACCAGGCAAGAGGATTCAGACTCACCAATTCCTGACTAATGGAAAACAGCTGACATTCATGACCTTTTAAAACAGTTTTATTGAAGTACAGTTGATTTACAATGTTGTGTTAATTTCTGCAGTACAGCAAAGCAGTTCATTCATTATATATCTATACATTCCTTTTCATATTCTTTTCTATTATGGTTTATCACGAAATATTGAATATAGTTCCCTGTGCTATACAGTAAGACCTTGTTCATCCATTCTTTATATACCAGTTTGCATCTGCTAACCCCAGACTCCTAATCCATCCCGTCCCGCTCCCCTCTCCTTGGCAACCACCAGTCTGTTCTCTGTGTCCACAGTTTTGTTTCTGTTTCATAGATAGGTTCATTTGTGTCATATTTTAGATTCTACATATAGTGATACCAGAGAGTATTTGTCCCTCTTTCTGACTCATTTCACTTAGTATGACAGTCTCTAGGTCCATCCATGTTGCTGCAAATGGCATTATTTCATTCTCTTTAGTGGCTGAGTAGTGTTCTGTTGTATACATGTACCACATCATCTTTATCCCTTCCTCTGTCGATGGCTGTTTAGGTTGTGTCCATGTTTTGGCTGTTGTGAATAGTGCTGCTGTGAACATAGGGCTCCATGTATCTTTTTGAACTATAGTTTGTGAAATCCATGACCTTCTGATGGCTTTGTACCTTCAGATACAAGATTTAAAATGCAGTCATAACCAAATCTGCTTTATTCTGCTAGTTTTTCTTTCTTAGAGTGGTATCTATAAATGTTTGGGAATAGCAGCTAAATTAATTCCTCTTAACCAGTCATGAAAGTTGATTAGGGATGAGCAAGGCAAGCCTGGCATCACTGAAATGTTTTCAGTTAGAGGAGTCAAAATACCCTATAATCTGAGTCTCAACTTGAGCATTTAGAATGATGCTCTTTTAAGCTGTACTTTAGCATAATTGTGTGACTAATTTCTTGCAAAGCAGAAAAGATATACTCTATAAAATGAATTTTCCATATAGATAAGGCTCCTTGAAAACAAATTTCCATGGTGTTTAAAAGAAATCCGTAGCTCAGTAAAGATTCTAATGTTCCTGAAAGATTTAAGTTCTGTTTGGGGAGCTGAAGCTCAATATTTTGGCTACCTGATGTATAGAGCCGGTTCATTAGAAAAGACCCTGATGCTGGGAAAGATTGACAGCAGCAGAAGAAGGGGATTACAGAGGATGAGATGGTTGGATGGCACCACCAACTCAATGGACATGAGTTTGAGCAAGCTCCAGGAGATGGTGAAGGACAGGGATGCCTGGCATCCATGGGGTTGCAAAGAGTCGGATATGACTCAGTGACTGAACAACACCAATGATGACCTACTACCCATAAGGTTGAAGTATTCAGAAAGATAACCTTTTAATAGTTCTGCTGAGTGCTTGAAAGTTTATCCTGTCTTGGGAATATAAATGAAAGAGCAATGCTGTAATACGATAAAGGAAACATTGGCTGGAAATCAAGAAACTTGGGATTCCCAACTCCACTGTATTCTGATAGCAAAGGAAGATACAAATTCTTTTGGTGTCATTTTTTCTCAGAAACTTCTGAGTCAGACCTGGGTTCAAATACCAATTCCAGTACCTATTAGCTGGATGATATTGTATTAGCTAGGTAAACTTTCTGGGTGTCAGTTTATTTATCTATAAAAAGTCTTTAGTAATACTGTGTGCAGGTATTTTATATATAAACGTGTGCGGATATTTTATATATGAAAGTTTTTTTTTTATACCTTCAATCTTTATAACATTCTTAAATGGAATATTCACTGTTGTTATCCCCACTTTATAGATGCTATCACTGTAGTTGGGAAATTAGATAATGTGAAGACGTTAATTAGGATAGTTTCTGAGATGTGTTACGTCACCTGGTACATGATATTCCAGACATGGAGGTGATGTATTTTCTGCTGACTTCATCTCACCCAACTCCTTCTTCCTTTTGGGATATGCCTTGAAGATTAGTGAAGAGGAGAACCACATGCATTAACAAGTTAACTTTGGGAATTAGATAGAGATTTAGGCCAAAGTGTAAAAATAAAACTGAACTTTAATTTTTCCTACAGGAGTGGCAAAAACTCAATTATGATATCTACACCCTGCGGCAGATTCGAAGGGAAGTGAGAGGTAGATGGAAACGCATTTTAGAAGATTTAGGTGAGTCTAAAAGTGATTATAAAATGGCAAAAATACCAGTTGTGGTTATTCCTCTTTACTTTCTCCAGCCTGGTTTTTATAAAAGAAATGTCGGTGACTGACTGATTAAGGCTACTGTGTACTAATTGTTTTCCCAATGCCATCCTCTCTGTATCCTCCGGCATACACATCTGATGTTTCTGTTATCATCAGCCCTTGTCTTGAGGACATATTTTGCCATGTGTTACCCCATCTGTCTTCAGTATCAAGTAGCACAGGGCAGTGAAATCATATGGGACATTCATTTAATCAAGATCATTGAATTGGGGGGCACTGTACATTGATTGATTTAAATGGAGTGATTTGCCAATTACTCATAGATTTATAAGATAGAGAAGATTGGGAGAAATATTATTTGTAAGAGAGGCAGCAAATACCTCTAATAAGAGTAGCTACTGGGTATTGATTTTTCTTAATTCTGCCAGGGTTGTAATTCAGTAGATATGGCCCTCACATGATAAAGAAGCTTGTTTTCATGTTCAGAAAAAATGAATTTATCAATTTTGAAGTCCTCAGTCCTTTTCCTTTGAAAGAGAACATTACACCTTGGCATTATAACTTTGCAAATGTGGGTACCAAGTTGCTGTCCCCTGTTACTTACATTATGCTTGTATTAAATCTATGAGTCTTTTAGACTTTTGTACAAGTAATTTAGCCAACCAACAATATCGCTCTGGGGGAAGGAATCTGGGCTTGGAGGAGTGTGGACCCGAAGATGACCATTTTGCAGGTTGAGGGGGCAAGTAGGAATTCTGGGGACAGGGGAGGAGGTGGGGAAGGGGAGGAGGGTTTCCAAACTGATAAAGGGGGTGGCAGGCAGTCAGTGGGTGAGTAGCAGAGGCTTAACTTGGGGGGAAAAGTTAGCAAAGAGAATTTGATACAAAGAAACTGCAAAAGCGTTTTAATTAAAGACCCGACCAACCTCACTGGCGGCAAAGGGAGTGGGCTTCAGTTTTCTCGCATTTGCTCCGAAGCATCGACGGGTCCCCTCACCCCTTGCAGGTCTGTTGTCTCCTCGTGACTGCTTCGCATGAGGGTTTAATTTCTTTACACAGGTTTTCAAAGAGAAGCAGACTCTTTGTTGGCAGTGACAAAACTTAGCACCATCAGTGATTCTAAAAACACAAGGAAAGCTCGGGAAATACTGCTGAGACTGGCTGAAGAGACCAGTATTTTCCCAACCAGTTGGGAGCTCTCGGAGAGATATCTCTTTGTTATGGTAAGTGTCCATCTGCTTTTTTTGGGTAATTTTTAAAAATTAATTTTTATTAGAGTATAGATGCTTTTGTCCTCTTGGAGGGTGTCTCAGATGGTAAAGAATCCACCTGCCATCCAGAAGATTTCAGAGACCAGATTCTATCCTTGGGTTGGGAAGGTCCCCTGGAGAAGGGAATGGCAACCCACTTCAGTATTCTCGCCTGGAGAATCCCATGGGCAGAGGAGCCTGGCAGGCTATAGTCCATAGGGTCGCACAGAGTCAGACATGAATGAAGCAGCTTATCTCACATAGTCGCTTTAAAATGTTGTGTTGGTAGAACACTGAGTGGAGTTTCCTGAGCTATACCGTAGGCCCTTATTAGTTAATCTATTTTATGAATAGTATCAATAGTGTATATACGTCAACCTCAGCCTCCCAGTTCACCCCACTCACTCCCCTTTCCCTCTCGTTGGTGTCCATACATTTGTTTTCTGTATCTTTGTCTCTATTTCTGTTTTGCAAATAAGATCATATGTACCATTTTTCTAGATTCCACATACATGCATTCATATATAATATTTGTTTCTCTCTTTCTGACTTACTTCCCTCTGAATGACAGGCCTTTAGGTCCATCCACGTCTCTGCAAATGATCCGATTTTGTTCCTTTTTATGGCTGAGTAATATTCCATTGGATAGATGTACCGCATCTTCTTTATCCAGTCCTCTGTTGATGGACATTTAGGTTCCTGATTTTGCTTTAAATTTTTGCTTCTCTCTTAGTCCATATACTTACTCATCATTCTGACCCCATGAACTTCACCATGGTATGAGGTGTGGCAGATGGTGCTGACATCTTATGCCTTGGTGTCCAGTGGCCAGCACATCATAATCATTTGGAGGGCTTTTAAAATTCAGGTTTATGGAATATGCTTAGACCAGTTGAGACTTGGGTTGCAGTTCAAGAATCTGTATTTTTCAGTCAATTTTGTTGTGCAGTCAGCTTTTTGAACCGTTTTTAGATCAAAGAGATGTGAGAAATAGTGGGTATACAGCCTAAGATTGAAAAATGATTTGAAAAGACTCTAAGAGCAGGGGAATGTTTCCTGAGAATGTAAGTGATTAAGGAGTGTCTCTAAATTTGTTGAGAAATATTTAATAAATGTTTTACTCACTCATTGTTATTTCTAGATGGATGTGCTTTTTAGATGAATTTTGCCACAGACATGGCTTTGTTTCCATTTTGACAATTTTGTTTTTAATTTTTTGGCAGGACCGCCTCATTGCACTTGATGCTGCAGAAGAGTTCTTTAAAATTGCCAGTCGAACTTACCCCAAGAAGGCTGGGGTCCCGTGCCTGGCAGATGGCCAGAAAGAACTGCACTACTTTCCTTTTCCAAGTCCCTAAAGGAGAAGCTTCGAGGCAGAATGGGAATTCTTCCACTGGACCTCAACAACCAACCAAAGTTGGGCAAATGTGTGCAGATGAGAATGAGCAAGAAGAGAGCTAGCTAAGAGAAAAAGGATTTTGAATCCTGCTAAAAGCTAAGAGTTTGGATAGCTGGTCATCATGAAACTCTTATGAAATGTTGAGGTTGCATTGAAACATCCTGGTGATCTTGCATCAGAGAGTTGGTCAGTGGGCTGTTTTATCATGGGTGATTAGATTCTATTTGCCCCCATTTTGGAGAAGGAAATGGCAACCCACTCCAGTATTCTTGCCTGGAGAATCCCAGGGACAGAGGAGCATATAGTGCCATCTACGGTGTTGCACAGAGTTGGACATGACTGAAGCAACTTAGCAGCAGCAGCCCCCATTTTGGTTTTGGTTGTATAATGAGCTCTGACCACTGATCCTATTGGGAGAATGGGATATTCCAGTTAATAAAATAAGATTACTGGAGCCATTATTGAGCCCAAATATGGATTACCAATTTTTAAATAACTGTTATATAATACAGGCTAACACCAAAACACTACCAGGCATGATGTGACCTTCCTTGATTTTGGAGCACCTACAGAACCTTGGAGGTGTTTGGAGCATCAATTGGAGAATATCCAGAAGTTTAGGTGTACCAAATAATAGAAATATCTAGGAGTGCTGCTCAGGAGGGAGTCCTAAGTAGAATGATCTCAAGTAGAACTCCATGTAAAAAGCTCTGTCTTCAGTTATGGTACAGGCATCTCAAATTTTTAACGTTAGTGATATCTGGTTACCTCATTTTTGCATAGTGTCCAGCTCTGGTCCACAAGCCCCTGCCTGATATTTTATCGGGGATATTTGACCTTCACTGTCTTCTCTTTAGCCTGTTTTCAGCTTATTGACTGAGAGTTAGACCTGCCCAGAGTCCTTGCGTGTATATTTGCAACTCTGTAGGCCATGTTGCATTGAAGAAAGTCATTGATGGACTTTCTTCCATCCTGAAGATGATTTTCAGAATGGAGCATTTCTGTCAATACAGTTTGCCACAGGTTGAGCAGCTCAGCTTCAAAAGTTAATAGCCCCTTAAGCAAGGAGCTTGCTGTGAAATCAGGGTTCATTGTATTGAAAAGAGCTTTTCAGGTATATCAGTAGATTGCTGAAAATAATGGTAATATTCTTACTTTTACAGATTTTGCTTTTCTGACTTCAAGTTTAAAAATAACTTGTGTGTAGTCTGTGCAGGGGATTGTGACTTGAAGATTTCCCTCCCCCAACTAGCTCTTTTGATAGTGAATACTTTGTTTAAAATATTTGTTAGAAGAGATCCATGTTATCGATTTATGAGTGCATTGCAGACCAATTAACTGACATGTTTCAGGAAAATTTTTCATAGTTGAATAAGTAAACAAAAAGTTTTATTTTTTAAAATAAATAATACATTTTTATTTTGTTTAGTTCTTAATACCTCTCTCATGTTGTTTAAAATTAGCCTGCAGATATTTTCTCTCACTTCTGTAAGCTCTTGCAAGATAAACATACAGTGAGACAAACAAACGAAACCAAAAAGAAACAATAAATTACAAAATACATTTGAAGATCATACTGTTTTCATCCTTGTCCATGGAATTTGTGTTTTGTCTTTCTACCTTTTCTGATGTCAAAATAGAGAAGATTGTTTGCATCTCTAGAAATAGAGAATAAATTGTAACCATAGTCTTTATTTTTGGTAATGAATAAGTAAGGTTAAAACTGTCTCTATGATTATAAAAACTCATGGAATTATCCAGGAAACTTTCATTGCAAAGAATTAAAAGGTTTCTCTATTTACTTTTCAGTTGCATGTGTGTTATATTTCCGAGAATAAAGAGGAAGCAGATATTCTTTCCTTAATCCCTTTAAATTAAAGGTGAAGAGGCTGAGAGAGATGGGCTTAAGGGCCTGGTCGTTCTAAAGCCAGTCAAGGGGCCAGTCTGTGCTCAGGTCCATTGAGAAGTCCATGAGAGGGGCTTGAGGGTGACGGAAGTGACCACTTCACAAGTCACAAGGTGCTCAGCAGGAACAGGATCCAGGGGTTCATGTGTGTATGCAGGGCAGTTTCAAGTGGTAGATGGATGGAAAATTTTATATTAATAGTTATTTATTTAAACATGCACCAAGGAAGCGAGGGGGTGGGGACTTCCCTGGCGGCTCAGCGGTAAAGAATCTGTCTGCAATGCAGGAGACCTGGGTTCCATCCCTGGCTCGGGAAGATCCCCTGGAGGAGGGCGTGGCAACCCACTCTAGTTCTCTTGCCTGGAGCATCCCATGGACAAAGGAGTCTGACAGGTGCACTCCATAGGTTGCAGAGGTGGACACGACTGAAGTGACTCGGCAGCAAGAGCGGGGAGGGGGGCTGTAATTTAGCCGATAGAACACGAGATTTCCTATTCCATGAATATAATTACAACCAATAAAAAGTGTTTCCTTAACGGGTCCCCAGGAAGGCAGAGTGGACACATTGACCAAAGTGATAAAGGATGCTTTGGTGAGGAGTCACTAACATCACTGAAAGCTTGGTGTATCCCTTAGGATGGGCTGTTCCATAAATGAGCTCACTGGTAGCAGTGGGGATGGAAGAGGGGCCCAGTGGCAGGCTTCACCGTCAGAAGCCAAGTGGGCACAATTATATGAGTGACCAGATCTGAAGAGTACCTGTAGAGAGATTTGGCGATGGCTGAGGGAACATGGCCTCTCTAGGGGCAAAATAAATGGGTAGCAAATAAGAATATTCTTCACATTTTACCATCAAAAGATCTCAAGGACAAGGCTAAGAATCCAGCTTGCAGTGCAAGGGACACCGGTTCGACCCCCGGTCCCGGAAGATCCCCACGTGCCACGGGACAGTTGAACCCGAGAGCCGTAACTACCGAAGCTCATGCACCCTGGAGCTTGAGCTCCGCAACAAGAGAGGCCACTGCAGTGAGAAGCCTCATGCTGCCAGCTAGGGAGTAGCCTCCGCTTAACTGTGACTAGATAAAGCCCTTGCATAGCAACGAAGACCCAGCACAGCCAAAAATGTATGAATATTAAGAAAAAGATTAAAAGATCTCAAGGATGGATGATCAAGAGATAAGCAGGACACAGATACAGCCAGTTTAATAAAAAGTTACGATCTCTTGCCAGCTTTCCAGACTGGGACTGTTTTCCAGACTCAGAAACCACGTGCTGAAAGAAAGACTGGATCTCTGAGAAGGAAAACTTTGAAACACCACTGCAAGGGGACAGACATGGCAATGCTTCCCCTAGTCCTCCCTCAAAAGGACCTGTGCTTATTTACTGGGATAACTACACCAGGGAAAGGAGTCTACATAGACACACTGTGGACAGGGGACACAAGGTCCAAGTGGACGTAGATACCCGGGGGCAAGAGAATCATTACAGTGTGCGGTTTAGAGTGGGGCACGTGGAACGCAGATAGTAACTGGAGTCCTACCCCACTTCCCTGGTAGCTCAGATGGTAAAGCTCCCGCCTACAATGCGGGAGACCTGGGTTCAATCCCTTGGTCGGGAAGATCTCCTGGAGAAGGAAATGGCAACCCATTCCAGTATTCTTGCCTGGAAAATCCCATGGACAGAGGAGCCTGGTAGGCTACAGCCCATGGGTTGCAGAGTCAGACACGACTGAGCGACTTCACTTCTGACCCCACCTCTAACTCACAGTCAGTTGAGTTCCTGGATCTACTCAGGGGTCATCTCCCCAGTTCCAGATTAAATTCCTGGATGGAACATACTTGGGACTTGGCAGAAGCAACATTTGTTTTTTGGCCTATGGGTTAAAAACCAACCTACTGAGAAAGCTAAGTCTATAGAAGACTCTGAAACTGCTTCACTCCCTGGCCAAGATAGTAAACCCAAATTAACATTGGATTCCAGAAAGACAACAGAGATTAGCACCCTTAAAGACCTAAAGGATGCAGGAGTGTCGGTCCTAATTATAATTCCGTTCAATTCACCACTCTGACCCTGAAACCAGATAGATATTGGAGAATGAAAGTGAATTATTGAAAATTCAACTAAGTAGAAGCCTTAACTGCAGCTACTGAGCTAAATGTGGGATCTTGGTGAGAGTAAATTAACAAGTCTCATCTACAATGTGGGTATTGATCTGGCAGATGCATTTTCTCCATACCCATCAGAAAAGAAGGTCAGAAATTGCATTCACTTGAGACAGACAACAGTATGCATTTCTGGTATTGCTCCAGAGCTAAGACTCTCCTACCCTTTCTTATACTAAAAAGGATCTGGACCCTCTGGATTCTGCAGAGTATCACTTTGGTTACTATATAGTAACATTAGATAAATGGTAAAATTAGATAAATTGGTAACATTAGGTCTGATAAATGCAAAGTGGAAAATGCACCAGAGGCCTTGAAGAAAGACAGTTCAGAGGATGAGAGAGAAATTCTACAGTCTCAGGAGCCTGTCACTTCATTGCAGTTCTTAGGGGTCCAGCAGTCTGCGGTGTGCTGAAACATCCCCTCAAAAGGAAGGTTGAGTTACTTCGTTGTACACCTCTCAGGAGCCACCAGAATGCCAGGTAGGCCTCTATGTTGCCTCCTGGAACTACCCCTCATCCCATTGAACTGGATGGTGTGAGAAGCTGCCAGCTCTGAATGAGGTCCAGGGCAGGAAAGCGCTCCCAAGCAGGTCCGGGCTGTGGCCAAGTGGCCTGACATGTGTAGCTTAGGACCCTGCAGACCCATCAGTATTGAAAGTTGGTGATGAAAAAAAGATGCCATGTGGAATTTATGGACAGCTCAATAGGAAACTGATAATACAGACTCCAAGAGTCCTGGAGTTCAGGTCATGCCATTTTCAAGGGATGATTACATATTACTTGAAAAACTGCTCATCATGGATTGGGTTTTTGTCAGACCCATGAAAGTGTAAGGTCAAATCTAACAGCAATCTATTTTTTTTTTCTGTTATTTTTCAACATAAGCTAC